AAATCTGAGTACAAATATTGAAGGCCTCTCAAAATAAAATTTTAATGAGATGATGAAGACCTGATGAAACAATGAACAAATTAAACAACCTTGTCCTGTCTTTGATTCGTAATGTGCGATTTGAGCTACTAAAATAAAATTCTAGAAAAGCTCTAGCAGATGTTGTATTGGAGATGATAGTACGACACTAGGGATTATTTTTATGATTTAGATTTATGTGACTTTGTTTCAGATCATAGACACCCCATTAAGGAGGACAGGAAAAAAAAAGGAAAAAAGAAAAAAAAGAAAAAAAAAAGGGAAAAAATATGTTAATGAAGACATCCAAAATGACTTCCTTTTTTGTACTTCAAACGTGATATTCAAGATAAAATATTAAAATATAAACACTACGTAAGATCTTCACATCACATACCTCTTTCTTATAACTCAAACCTATTAAACAAATGTATAATTATCACTTAAACGAAGGCTACTTTTCCAATTGCAACTTCTAAGGAAAATAAACTTGTCAACCAGTTGGTATGAGAAATACCATCATATAAAAGATGTAAACATCTTCCCATAATCATATGAACAAATCAACACAAAGAAAGTTTATGACAATATGAGGAAGTTTGTGGAAATCTCGTATCTTTAATTAATTTATAATTCCCAACATGATGTTTTGAACTATGGATTTATTTATCCAGCAAACAAAAAGTGTCAAATTCCATGTTGATGAATCCAAACTGGTTTGTACATATAGCATAAAAAAAATGAAAAAAAAAAATATAATAATATCAATTAGCGGTTGCTCATTAAAACATAATGAAAACATTGTTTGTCAAGGTTTACAATAAATTTGTTTAATAGGCAATTTTGTGTCATTCTACATGTACAAATGTCATCGACCCTCCACTTCTGAAATTGTAACATCATTTACTGAGCAAAGTATTGGAATTTCAAGTGTATTGGCATATTTCACACACACAATTGTAGAAACACACTACAAGAAAATGCACATTTGCCGACTAATTTTGGCGACTAAAACATTTTTAGTCGCCAAAAGTATAATATTTGGCGACTAAAAATTAATTTGTCGGCATTGGTTCAAATATGTAGCTACTAAAATATTTTAGTCGATAAATATTTATAATTGGCGACTATATTTTGATTTAGTTGGCAAAATTTAATTTTTTTGCAACTAAATAGGATGTTAGTCGTCGTTTTCCTACATTTTAGGCTGAAAAAAATAAATTTAATCTGTAATACTGCTTTTTCCTGACTAAAATATAATTTAGTCGCGAAAGATGACGTTTAGCAACCAATATTTTCATCGTTATTGAGTGCTATTTGGCTACCAAATAATATAGTCGGCATAATTTATTCCATTCCCAACTAAAAATTAAATTAGTCGCTAAAAGGTTAAAATTTCAACCCGTGACTCTTTTATTGGTGCGCGCGCATTGATCTGCTAGGCAACAGTACTGTATCACTCACAACTTCACAATAGTGTATCGCACACACACCTCACCAAATCTCACAGAAATCAGCCCCCCTCACCGTAGCCTACTGTACGGGCAACATTATGACGGGACCGCCACCGCCACCGCCACCGGCGCAAAGCACCACCGTCTCAGCCGCACATCACAAGTTCTCTTTCTCTCTCTCGCTTTCGCGCTCTGCTTCCCACTCTGTCTGTGCATCTGTCTCTCGCTCTCTCGCTCGAGCTCTCTCCTAGAGTCTATGTGTCTATCTCCCACAATCTATACTTGTTCTGTATTCATATATATATATATATATATATGTATGTGCAGTTTTTATTTTTGTTTTTTTATTATATATATTTGTAATAAGCAGAGTTATTGATGATAGGTATTCAAAGAAAAGCCCTGCTTGAAGCCTCTTCTTATTTCATATTTCATGCAAATATGCTCTCAAAGTAATTGAAGTATAGCACATATTTGGTGAATATCTGTGGGTTTTTAACTTTTATCACTTTGTGTTCATTTCTTTTGATTGCTGCTCTGTCCAATATGCCTGTGTTCTTGTTCCAAACTCTTGACGTCTTTTGACCCATTGTTAGAGTCACTTTGATGCACCTTACTTGTTTTAGGGTTTCAATTTCTGGGTATTTGATACATTGTGCCTTTGACCATTTATATTTGTCTCAACATACATTTCTATATATTTCTGTGTGGGTAATTTTCTTACCACACTGCCCGCCTAGTAATCAACTGGAGAGCACCGGCAGAATAGATGGCTTTAGTAACCTGAAACAGAAAGAAAAAGGCTCCGGCGGTGGCTCTTCCACCCAGGGGCACTCTGATGATCAAGTCAGTATATCTCTCAAAGATAATCAAGTGCTAAACTCACAAGCTTGAGTATAAAACTGCGTACCTTAGACCCATGGGGGTGCCTTTCTTTTATAGTTAACTCAATCCAAGTCCTACTAGAAGCATGACTTCTATAGACTTCAATTTAGTGATTACTTAGGATTTCTCAAGAGATAAAGATAAACTCCCTAAGAGCTCTATCCTTATCTTGGCTAAGTCTCCTCTTTGTCCTAGGACTCTTGTCCCTTATCCGCTTATCTCGGATTTAGATATCTTCGGAGATAACCTCGGCAACTCCGAGATCACCTCGGCGTAATTTCCACGACACGTGGCACCTCGGCCAAACACGTCGGCGTCGCCATGCCACGTGTTGGTACCCAAGAAATATATCCCCACAACTGCCCCCTAGGTTCTATTACCTCGGCATCCTGAGGTGATGGAACCTATATCGATATTTCTTTCTGCATAGCGGCTAAAAAACTGTTTGGCCGAAATAATTTATTTTTAAGCCGATGTGTTCTCTTCGGAGAATAAGAATTCAAATGTACTCTATCACGCGCATGAGCTGTCGTGCACATCTAACCGTTCCTTTCACGTGCTTTGTCTTTATTGGCCCGTGCCTGTGACGCGCCTACAAGCTGTCTTTTATTAGCCTGCGCCGTCTGACGTATCCAGTGCTCCAGGCGCAATAAATGCCCTGTTTTGCCGCCGTTTTACGTTTTTTACAAAACGTTTCTTTCCCTCTTCCTTTCTCCACTTTTCGTATTCTGATTTCTTGCTTTTTCTCTCTCTAAAAGCTTCAGCACTCTTCGAATCTGCCATTGCTCTAAGCCCTAATTTCTGCGACCGTCTTAATTCTTCCATCCCTGTGAAGCTTTTGCCACTGTTTCATCTGTCGTCTGATCTTGGCGAATATTGCTCCGGCTTCACTTTATCTGGTAAGCAACTGGCCCCCCCTTTTAACCCCTTTTGTTCAGTTCTTGATTAGTTCTGGAGTTTTTTCGCTATTACTGTTCTTCTTAAGCTTTATTTGTGAATCATTCACCTGAATGCATCTTATTTTATGATTTTTTTCATATGCCATGAACACTTGCACTGTTTCACCATTGTTCTTGGCCCTTAACCCTTTGTATTCTTCGTGTTCTTGATAGTCCATCCCTGTTCTTGTCTCTGAAACTTCGCTTTTGTTCTCTGTTTTTTGTGTTTTTACCAGATCTGTGCCCTTGATCTTCGTCTTTATAATTTTAGGTTTGGGATTTGTCTTTAGAACCTTCAATTTTTAGGAAAAACTGAAACAAATCTTACCAGCCCTTTCCCAGGTTTTGAAACCGAGGTTCTAGCAACCCTTTTGAAACACCTATTTTTTGAAACACAGCTTTCTGAACTTAGGCCGACGTTATGGGTATGTGGAGACATCGAGTAAATTCCCCAACAAAACTTGAATACTTTAGGCAGGAGTTCTCCATCCCAGCCGATGTTCACCTTAGGCTAGCTGGGGATGGTGATTCCATCATGCCCACAGATCATTCGATGCCCTTTCCTAGTGTAGCCTTTACTGAATGTGGACTCCGGCTTCCACTAAATCCCCTCTTTCGCGAGGTTCTCCACTTCTATAGGTTGAACCCTATGCAACTTGCCATCAACTCTTATCGAGTGATTAATGGTATCATAGCCCTGGCTAGGCAAGAGAACGTTAGGATCACCCTTGCCGATATCCAATTTTGTTATACCATGTGCCCCCTTAACCTGAAGGAAAGAGGTTATGTCTACTACCTCAAGCCGAGGTCTACCGAGTTCAAAATTGTAGCCGACCTCCTGGATTCCAACAAGGGAGCCGGGGATGATTTTCGCATTGCTTCGGGAAATTGGAAATTTGGCCCAGACAAAGATGTTCACCTCTACCCTCTTCCTCGAACAGTTAAAGAGGGCAAGGGTAAGAGCCCAGTGCCAATACTTAGTTATTCCTTTTCCAAGTCTTCAAAACTTTGTCAGTTTCTAATGACTATTTGCTTGTCCTGCAGATCTTCATCAACCACCAAAAAACTTTCGCCAATCGTTCTTCCCAGGAAAAGATTTAAAGAAGCTCCTTGACCTTCCAATCCACAAGCGCAAGGCTCCTCTGCTACTAAATTTTATCCCGACATACAAATCCACTCTGCCCGACGTCCCAAAAAGGAAGAAAAAGAGTCTTTCTCCACCTTCTGCCACAACTCCTTCCATTGCTTCCATACCACGAGCAGACGAAGGATCCACTTCTGACCTAGTCGATCTGCCATCTTCTTCAGCTCCATACTTGATCCAATACCAGAAAGAAAACGTCGGTGCCGTCTGGTCAAAACTGCCGAAATGGGTCGCGCAAAGCCAATTGCTCAAAATCTCTTAGCCGACCTTTCGACTGATGCTGATGTTGTACCGACCCAACCAATGCCCCCACCGAAGCCGAAAAGAATCAAGAAGGCCCAGCCTAAGGCCAAGGCTATTGAGGCTGAAGATAGTTTGCCTGTCTCAAAACTGGCTGAGAGTAAGAAGACTTCTTCTGCTCCTGCGAAAAGGTCTGCCGAGACCTAGCCCTCCGAGTCTACCCAATCAAAGAGGCCGAGGTCCTCCTCTGCAACGACTTCAAAATCCAAGGTGCCAAACGTCCCTTGGACGCCCGAGATTACCCTGGAGGACAAGCCGGTCATGGCTACTGACAGCGCCGACGACATTAATGTCGGCGTTGCCCTTAGTACAGCTCTTCTTCTCCCAGGTGATCTGGAAAAGAATGCTGGAATGAGTGAGTATGAAAATTATGCTTTCATGCTTCAACACTGTGTTCAAGTAAGTGTCTTCACTTGGTGACCTGTCTTTTCCTTATTTGTTTATAAAACTTCTGTAATAACTCCTTGCTTTTGTGTTCTTTCAGGTTGTTCAGCATGCCCACTCCTTCTCCATGCAATCTTTTGAGAACAGGGAGAAGTTATCTGACTTGCAGAAGGAGTATTCTGCACTCCAGAAGATCAACAAGGGTCTTCAAGCAAAAATGAAGAAATTGGAAGACCAGGCCGAGGCTGCCACTAAAGCCCAAACTTTGGCTGAAGAAAAGGCCGAGGCTGCTGAAGCTATAAAGAAAGTTGCCGAAGCGCAGAAAAATGAAGCCGAGGACAAGGCCACCCAAGCTGAGAAAGAGCTTCAGGAGGCCTTGGCCACGAAAAAGGCTGAAATCAAAGAAGCTGATGAAAAGGCTTATGCGCAAGGCATGGCCGACGTCGCTGAGGAGTACACGCTTCAAGTCAGGGAAAGCTTCAAGTTAGGGAAGCATGCAACATGGGATTTTCCCTTGGTTGGATGTCTCTGTTAAAAAGACTTGACCTCCCTGCTGACTCGCCTTTTCGTAATGCCGACGCTATTCCTCTCCCATTTCCACCAAGCCAAGCCGAAGAAGAATCTGGGTCGGAGCCTGAGGATGAAGATGATCAGAATGCTGAAGCCTTGATGAAGAAACCCAAGGGTGATGCTGGGGTCAAGTCTCCTTCTCAAATTGAACCCATCCTGGACTTAACTTTGGATGAAGAGGGTGATGAGGTCGGGGAGGCACCTAGGGAAGCTGTTACAGGGGTATTATCGTCCGACCTCCTATTAGCTGAAAGAAGTCTTAACAAAACGCTTGCAGAGATTGATGCCGAGCTGGCAGCAGAGAAGGCCGCTGAAGTAGTTCCACAGGAATCGGCCGAGGTTCAAACCCAAATTGCTTCTGAAGCAGAAGAATCATAACTTCCATGTTTTTTGTACCTTTTTTGTTTGTTTGGCAATATAGGATTCTTTGTATGGCCAATATGCCTTTTTCTTGAACAATTTTTCTTATGGATGCCTCAATTTTTTAATGTCTTTTTGATTTGCTTCTGCATTTTGCTACCTTTGTGTAATCTCCTCGGGGTTACATACCTCGGGTATAATAACATCAAACTTTATTTCGGCAAGATTCAGTCCTGAAAAACTTTTGAAAAAAAATTCCAACAAGTGTTTAACATATACGATTCAATGTTTACTGTAAGTTTCTTTTTAAGTTTCAACAAGTACGTAAACAATAATTTCGGTTTAACCTACTTGTAAATTGCTGCAAATTTCAACAAGTGTTAATATATACTGTAATGTTTTCTTCAAGTTAAAACAATGATCTACTTGTAAATTGCTACGAATTTCAACAAGTGTTTAAACAATATACTAAGCTTTTACCTCAACCTGTAAATTGCTGCAAATTTCAACAGATGATCACATGTCGGCTTAACATTATTTTGTAAATTGCTATAAATTTTAACAAGTGTTAAGCATCTTCTTTGGTTGGACCATCCTGTAGATTGCTATAAGTGTGCAAACTATAACCTCGTCTTTACTTCGTCTTGTAAATTGCTACAAATTTCAACAAGTGAAGAGAAAACAAGTGTTAAACAATAATCTATTTGTAAATTGCTACGAATTTCAACAAGTGTTTAAACAATATACTAAGCTTTTACCTCAACCTGTAAATTGCTGCAAATTTCAACAGATGATCACATGTCGGCTTAACATTATCTTGTAAATTGCTACAAATTTCAACAAGGATTAACATAACAAGTGTTAAACAATAATCTATTTGTAAATTGCTACGAATCTCAACAAGTGTGTAAATATACTTAGCTCTTTCCTCAACCTGTAAATTGCTGCAAATTTCAACAGATGATCACATGTCGGCTTAACATTATCTTGTAAATTGCTACAAATTTCAACAAGGATTAACATAACAAGTGTTAAACAATAATCTATTTGTAAATTGCTACGAATCTCAACAAGTGTGTAAATATACTTAGCTCTTTCCTCAACCTGTAAATTGCTGCAAATTTCAACAGATGATCACATGTCGGCTTAACATTATCTTGTAAATTGCTACAAATTTCAACAAGGATTAACATAACAAGTGTTAAACAATAATCTATTTGTAAATTGCTACGAATCTCAACAAGTGTGTAAATATACTTAGCTCTTTCCTCAACCTGTAAATTGCTGCAAATTTCAACAGATGATCACATGTCGGCTTAACATTATCTTGTAAATTGCTACAAATTTCAACAAGGATTAACATAACAAGTGTTAAACAATAATCTATTTGTAAATTGCTACGAATCTCAACAAGTGTGTAAATATACTTAGCTCTTTCCTCAACCTGTAAATTGCTGCAAATTTCAACAGATGATCACATGTCGGCTTAACATTATCTTGTAAATTGCTACAAATTTCAACAAGGATTAACATAACAAGTGTTAAACAATAATCTATTTGTAAATTGCTACGAATCTCAACAAGTGTGTAAATATACTTAGCTCTTTCCTCAACCTGTAAATTGCTGCAAATTTCAACAGATGATCACATGTCGGCTTAACATTATCTTGTAAATTGCTACAAATTTCAACAAGTGAAGAGAAACAGTAATCTCGGCTTAACTTCGACTTGTAAATTGTACAAATTTCAACAAGTGAAGATAAGGAATCAGCTTAACTTAACTTCAACTTGTAAATTGCTACAAATTTCAACAAGTGAAGAGAAACAGTAATCTCGGCTTAACTTCAACTTGTAAATTGCTACAAATTTCAACAAGTGAAGAGAAACAGTAATCTTGGCTTTTCTTGATAATGTAAATGGACTGCTTTCCTAAATTAATTTGTTAATTAATTAGGATTCTGTATTTATTCGAG